AGGTCACACGGGCGAGCTAGCGCCGCTGTGTGCAGGCCCTATTAATGCGCTGGGCTGGGGTAAGCGGGTCGGGGCTGGAGTGGCACTTAGACCGGACACTCGAGCCTGGCCTGCTGGAATTAGAACTATTGCCGGGAGCTGGCGGGGGGGGTGGGGGACACGCACACTTGTCTCTAGTAGCCACTAGTGTTTTAAACACCACTTGTTCTCGACAGCGATACACATGGGATCACTAGCGCTCCCGTCCCGCCCGCGGGTGGAGCAGGCGTGCTGCATAAGAATGGCCTGTCCGCCTCCGGAGCGGGGAATTCGAAGTGCAAACTGGGGGGTACGCACAGCCTCTGTCATTACCCCTTTCGCTTGTTTACGGGAAGGAAGTTGCAGAGGCTGGTTGTGAACACGGTCCGCCTGTGCCGGGTCTTCGCTGGGTCATTCTTGAAGGACTTACCTCAGCCTCTAGGAGGGAGCCCTGCAGTAGTAGTTTTCTAGGTGAGATTAACTCAAAGCTTCAAAAAGCTTGTGATCTTTTAAACATCTGATAGCATTTTGAACAGGAGGTGGTGTATTAACCGTAGCTGATCTGGCCCCGTTGCACCCAGTGAGCCTGCATTTCCTCTGGATGTTCACCAGTCCTTCCTAAACTTTAGCTACCCTTGTTCATCCCTTGGCAGAATCCAGCAGGAAAAGGAGCTAAAGGGAAAATTAGACAGTGGGCCTCGCTTTGGTAGCTAGAGGGAAAATTTGACAGTGTGCCTCTCTTTGATAGCTAGAGGGCTTCTTTAAAAATAAAGTGTTAGAAAAACAGATACCATATTCTTCGGTCCTGAATTATTCATACTGATATTAGGTACTTGGATGTTTCTTCTCAAAGATGGATATGTAGCAATAGAGATACACAGCAACTGAAAATACAAGTGTTTATTTGGCATGGAAGAGAAATGTAAAAACACTGAGTCTCACATTATTTGATTTTATGAAAAATGGTTAAAAGTTAAGCATTTGAAACCCAAAGCATGGGATTAAATAAAAATGCATCAATAAAATATGAACTGACATCTACTGCTGATTATTTGAAGAAAGTGCCATGGCTTTGCCTTACTGAAAAAACTGCAATATTAATATTACAATACTGGAGGAGCCATTATCTTTGAAAAATCATGGAAGACAGAAGAAATTCCAGAAGAGGGCAAATATAGTGCTCATCTATAAAAAAGGAAATTAACAACAACGCAGGAAGCTACAGACCAGTCAATTTATCTTCTGTGCTAGGAATGCAAATGGATTCCTTAATTATGTGTTCTATTATCTAACATCTGAAATAAGGTGGTAATAGCCAGCATGGATTTGTACAGAACAACTGTCAAACCAATCTGATAGCTTTCTTTGATAACAAGGGGAAAGCGGTAGCTGTCATACACCTAGACTTTGAATCTGATAGCTTTCTTTGATAACAAGGGAGAAGCGGTAGCTGTGATACACCTAGACTTTAGTAAAGCATTTGATACAGTCTTATCTGATCTTATTAAAAAAAACTAGGGAAATACAAACTAAACAGGGCTACTATAAGGTGAGTGCAAAGCTGGTTGGATAACAGTTCTCAGAGTATTTCTCAATGGATCACAGGCATGCTAGAAGGGATAGAACAGTTCTGTTCAATGTCCGATAACAGTTCTCAGAGTATTTCTCAATGGGTCACAGGCATGCTAGAAGGGGTAGAACAGTTCTGTTTAATGTCCAGAGTACACTTAGGCTATGTCTAGATTGCATCCCTTTTACGAAAAAGGGATGCAATTTAGACGTAGCCTTAAAGTTTGCAGATGATCCCAAGATGGGAGGGGTTTCAAATGTTTTAGTGAATAGGGTCGTAATTCAAAATGCTCTGAGGTAAAAAGGATGAAGTTCAATAAAGAGAAATATAAAGTACTCCACTGAGGAAGGATCAGTCAGTTTCATAGATACAAATAGGAAGGGACTGTCTAGGAAGGAGTACTGCAGAAAGGCCTCAATTGGAGTATTGTGACCAGTTCTGGGAACCACATTGCAAGAAAGATGTGGAGAAAATGGAGAAGGTCCAGAGAAGAGTAACAAGAATGATTAAAGGTCAAGAGAACATAAGCTAGGAGGGAAGACTGAAATAATTGGGCTTGTTTAGTTTGGAAAGGAGAAGACTGAGAAGGGACATGCTAGTGATTTTCAAGTACCTAATCAGGGTGTTACAATGAGAAGGGAGAAAAATTGTTCTCCTTGGCCTCCAATGACAGGACAAGAAGCAATGGGCTTAAACTGCAGCAAGGGAGGTTTAGGTTGAACTTCCGGTCAGGGTGGTTAAACACTAGATTAAACACAAGGTTAAACACTAGATTAAACTAGGTTAACTAGGTTAAACACTAGTTGCCTATGGAGGTTGTGGAATCCCCATGTCTGGAGATATTTAAGAGCAAGCTAGATAGATGTTTATCAGGGATGGTCTAGACTAGGGGTACTCAACATGTGGCCCGCAGGCTACATATGGCCTGCGGTGCAGTTTGGGTTTAGAGGGCTCAACCGGTGTCCCATGAGTGGGATCCTTTGCACATGACCTCCATTGGGAACATGCTTCACAACCGCAAAGTGTCTCCCAGGCGGGGTGAGCATTGAAAGACACAAGCCAAAGGACTGGATAGAACAGACAGGTACAGGGTGTAGGTGCTTTTAGCCCACAGGGAGGAGGTGCTGGGAGTGCCAGGGCATTGTGGGAAGTGCTTTGTACTCATGCCTATCAGTGTGAAAAGCTATTTGCACGTATAGGCAACCACACTTAAGTTGCAGTCCTCAGCATCTGCTGAGAATATCATTGAAACTCCTGGGGCTTCAAAGTTGAGTAGCCCTGGTCTAGACGGTGCATGGTCCTGCCGTGAAGGCGGAGGACTGAACTCAATGACCTCTCAAGGTCCCTTCCAGTTCTAGTGTTCTATTATTCCATAGAACGGATGTTGCTGGACCAGACTCTCCTAGATTTGGGAGGTTCATCCTGTATTATATTTAGGGATGTCAGTCAAAAGTTGGTTAAAATGGTAACCGGGTAACCACTGAAAATCTTAGCTGTTACATATGCTGAATGTAGCTTAAGTAAGCTTCATACTGTAGAGTGGGCAGCAAAGCTTCTCTGGCAGCAGGGCTACCAGTCCCTTTCCCCAGGAGGCAGCTTCCCTGCTGCAGCGAAGCCACCGCCCCAGGAGCTGTACCAGCAGAAGCTGTTGGCTCCATTACTGGAGAGAGGACTTCAGAGTTGAAAAGATAACATTAACTGATAAGAATCAGCTTACTAGTTAACTGGTTAGTTGGTTAAACTCTAAGGCTATGTCTACACTGCAGGCTTTTTGTGCAAGAACGGCTGTTCTTGTGCAAAAACTCACGGCGTGTCTACACTGCACATGCATTCTTGCGCAAGTAAGTTTACAGTAAAGTGTTGGAAAAGAGGGCTGCTTGCACAAGAGTTAGTCCTCTCCTCATGAGGAATAAGCCCTCTTGTGCAAGAAGGCAGTGTGGACGGGCAACAAGGGTTTCTTGTGCAAGAAACCCCTACCGCTAAAATGGCCATCAGAGCTTTCTTGCACAAGAGAGTGTCCACACTGCCATGGATGCTCTTGTGCAAAAGCACAGGGCAGTGTGGATGCACTCTTGTGCAAGTACTTTTGCGCAAGAACACTGCAGTTCTTGCACAAGGAGCCTGCAGTGTAGATGTAGCCTAACATCCCTATTACATATTGTTTGCATCAATGCATGCCAATATTAGAAGATTGAGGATAAACAGAAGCTCACAAGGTAATTTTTCAGAATAGCTTTCACTAGTGAATTAAGCTGGTCCATGAAAGCAGATGGTAAAGTGGAGAGACAGGTTGGATCTCCCTGGTGGGGCACCCTTGGGACTCAACTGGTCTTGAACAAGGGGATTTGTAGGAGCAGGAGAGGATTCCTGTCATTGGCCTCCCAGTCCCACACCCCTCCATACTATAGGCTGCTTCTGGCTGGTCCCTGATCCCAGGTTCTGGCTCCAGCCCTGGCCCTGCTGACACTGGGCTCCAGCAGCAGCCCCCTTGTTGCCAGCGTGGCTAGGGCTCCCCACCGTGCCGCTGGATCCACTCCTGCTGGGGCCAGACCCACTGCTCCCCAGTGGCCAGAGATCCCTGCTGTACCACCTGCCCATCCTGCCATAGGGCACCCCTGCTATGTTCCCAATCCTGGGACCACATCTCCCTCGGCTCTAGCAACATCCATAGTCCTTCTGGACCACACATGATGCCAGACTGGAGAGTCCCAGCTTAAGGAGGTACAGCCTGTACTTTCTAAGATATCATTCCTAGCAAATGTCTATCACCTACTGAATTGCTAACTGACCTCTTATCACAAATAGGTTTGCAAAATTCACATGGAGAGCCCAGGAGGTCAAAGTCTGGTAGAAAAAGCTCCCCCCCTCCCATTGCATTGCTTGCTGAAGAGAAGCCATCTCTCCTAGCCCATGGAATGCAGATTTAAGTCTGAAGGAATTCTTGTTTACACACTTTTATGGCAAAGGAGAATTACTTAAAGGGAGGTAGCCACAGTGTCTGATGTGAAAAAAAGCTTATCTATCTGCACGATGAAACAACCTAACCCTTCTAACATGTTTAGTAATTAAAACTTTATATCCAGCAGTTTTCCCTGAAGGCTAAAATATTATCTAGTTCTTACTGCACTTGTTCAGTATTACCAGCTCATCTACAAGAAGACCTTATCCAGCAAATCTTGATAATTTGGTGTCAATTCTTTTGATCATTTGAAATGGAAAGCCATTGAAAATTTTGTATACTCTGAGCACAATGGTTGGTATAACAATGATAAAGATAACTAAATAAAACCTTCCTCAATGCAGGACTGGAGCTCAGTTTGATTTCTAGAGTAAATGGCCTACTATAAATCTTCTATTCTATAGTAATGCAGAGTACCTTCACTGCCTAGAATATAAGTAAACAAATGGAAGATTGAGTTTGCAGGATAAAGTTTAATTTTATATAAATAGTTTAATCCTGTTACAAAAACTTCATTTTAATCAACTATTTAATAACAAAGTATAAATAACACAAGACAGTCAAACATGAAGTCTAAGTTTAGACAAGTATCCTAAGTTACTTGATCTGACAAGTGGATTTCTAATTGGTTTCGTTAGTGGACTTACAGTGTTAGTGCACTTACACTTGTTTGTCCTACTCTTTAGATGCCTTTCTTCCACTTGACTCCCACCTGAAAACATCTCCAGGCCTTTTCTGAATAGTCCATCTATTTTTCCTGACTAACATGTGCTATAAACCAAGGGGACGACAAGTGGAACCATGCTGCTATGGTGTCGGAGCACCAGATTGGTGTAGGGATGTTAAATTGAGTTTAGTCAACTAGTCAGTGAATTTCCATTGACTAGCTGATAAGGGGGACAGACACTAAAGAGCCACAGCAAGGTTAGCTCCCAGCCCCGGGAGTTAACCCCGCTGTGGCTCTGCCTTTTAAATGTATTAAGAGCCTGATAGCTTTTAATACATTTAAAAAACAGCAGCACAGCATTGGGGACTGGGCGTGAGCTGGGAATCAACTGATTTCTGGCTCACACCCCATCTCCCGCTATGCCTCTGCCTCCTCCAGACATGGTGCTGCGGGAGGGGGGAGAGAAACCTCGCTTTTATGATGGCTCCCTACAGGACCAGCTTCTGCCCCCAACCCTTGATGCCTGCGGGGAGGAGCAACTAGTCAAGTCACCACTCAACCATTCGATAAGCTTATGCTTATTGAATAGTTGATGAGTCACTTACATCCCTAGACTGGTGGCAGAAAAGAGAGCTTCCATATAAATGAACCTCCAATAAACAAACTTCACAAGTCAGATTGGGGAATGAAGTTTGCCTCCCAAATATGGACTTGAGAAAAGGAGGCCTTTAAAAGGATCCAGCCTTTTTCTTCCAAGTCCCTTCACAATTGGTGTGATAATTTAATATTGAAGCATCGCAAAATTTAGAACTAAAGGAGGATACCCCTTGATAACTTAATGCACATGCTTAAATGAATTCTCAAAAAGGCCCTTTACTAGTTTTAAACTGAAGTATTAAAAAAACCTAGTAGTTTGAAAAATGTAAATTACAAATAGCATTTTAATTATGTCTAATTGTTTAGTACCCAAGCCTTTACACATCCAAATACATCGTTCTATTAATTGTGAAACTGCTTCATCTTTGCATCTTTATATCAGATGATTCTTTTGGATCCAGCTTCTCCTTCAAATTCTTTTCTTCTAGAAAAAGAATGTATTGCAATATAAATGCTCAGTGTTAAACATACTAAATACCTACAGGACAAGTAGCATTTTTGAGAAATTTCCTATAGATACAACTGTTCCAAATAAGTGAAAGGAAAAATACCCATATCTGCACAACTGAAGAAGTTGCAACCAATAACTAGAAAGGATTCTAGAGCACACCAACATTGGAAGATCAATTTAAAGTGCTAGTGCTACTGCTTAGTACACTTGAATGCTAATATGGCAACCCTGGGAAATTGGGTATGCCGGATTCAAGATTTTGCTGGGCCAGGAAGGGCACTGCAGGGTCTGGGTGTGAGGGGAATAGGGATGGGGCACTCACCTGGCACCCCAAAACCAGGAGCACATGTAGATCCAAGTCCCACACCACTCCTAGGCACCACTCCCTGCTATGGGAGCGATGGGAAGCAGCTATAAACAGAGCCGCTTCCTCCTCCATATGACAGGTGTTCCTGAATTAGGCTCAAGTGTATACATAATATATATTGCTATGTAATGGAGGCTTTTAACTACCCACTGCTGCTGAGGGAGAAAAGGTTTTACCAGATGTGGACTACTGGAATGATGATCACATCACTCCCAATAAGTAAGTATATTGCTAAATGTAGATTCCTTAGAGCTCCCAGAAAGCAGGGCTAATGGAGAACTAATTGAAGCATCTGCTTGATTTCCTTCCACAGTGCTGCATTTAGAACTTTGTTTTCAGGTGTCACCTAAGCGGTTTATAAAAGTTAGCTGGCAGCAAGTACCGTATATGGAAGACCAGTTAGTAACAAATGTAAAAGGTTGGCTATCTTCAGTTTGATAGTTTCAGAATGCAGCCCCATAAAAGACACTGCACTAGGCTAGTCTGTCATTGTTCCTTTTTGATTACCCTATTAAATTTAGCTTACCAACTTTTCCATTTGACATTTAAAGTAAAAGTGTCCCGGATACTAACTACGGACTAACAGCTGAGTAAGGTCCACATTAAATGCAAATTCCAAATTAGCCAAACAAGTCTAATTCTTGCTAACACCAATTACCCAGTATGACAACTGATGTTTACAGATGTACCAGTAAGTGCCTTGTGCCACTGTTTCTGGTGTGGGAAGCTATACAATATTTGTTTCATTAGCATTAAGTATTACCTAAGTCTCTCACATTTTAGTGTCTATTGTCTGGCAAAGACTCCCATAGTTGGGAAGTGTAACTTGCAAGATATGGACTTTTATCAATCTAAACACCCACTTTTGGGGAGAAGTGTCATGTTCTGAGAAAGGAAAATGATGCATATTTGAGACTCTTTGGAAGCTAGTAGACTGGAAGATTACTATCCCAAATACATCCTTTCTAAAGTTTAAAAGGCTCCCTGTGCTCCACTGCTGCTCATCTTTCTCCCTCCTTGCATTCCTTCCTTCCATGGAGACTGTAGCAACAATCCAATACCTTGGTGATTACCTTCTTCCCCCTAATTCCTAAAGCAGAAATCAAGAGCTCAGTCTAGGTCCAGGAATCCCAGACGTGAAGAGTCCCGCATGTACAGATAGCGGTTAGGGATGTAAAATCCCGGTTAAAAAGTTAGCCGGTTAAACAGAATGCTAAACATTCCACTGAGCCAATCAACTGGCTCACTATGTCCCTAATAGTGGCACAATCCTATGAAAAGCACAAACTCAAGCTTACCCTTCAAGATATGCAGAGAATCTCCAGGTTTCTTTTGTGTCATTGACTTTAGTCTCTCTTGACCTGGAGAAAATGCAATCAGTGATGGAGTATGCTTTCTTTCAGAAGATATGCATGAAGGTGTCTTGATGTACTCTGCATCCAATGCATAGTGTTTTCCTGCAGGACTAAATACTTCTGTTTCTGTGCATGTTGGAGTAAGGTTTATCTCTGATCTATACCGAAAAAATTGTTTTCTAGTTGGTGACTGAAATGAATCTCTCTTTATCAGTGCTTCATACCTGTTGCGAATAGACTGTAAATTCAGTGTGCCTTCTTGAGCAGCCTGTTCATATTTTGTTAGGTTTTCCAAGGACTTGCTGTCCCTCGAGTAACCTTCAACTTCATCATCAGTCTCCAGACTTTTAGAGCTATTAAGACTAATGTTGCCAAGTTCCTCTGGAAAAGTCTCATGTAATATTCCAAATGGGATAACGTCATGACTGTCAGAACTAGTGCCACTTACCATTTGAGATGCATCCCATGACAGAGTTGTATTAACTGAAGAATTTTGACAAACATAATGTGATAGAGCATCTGTTTCAATATCTCTCTCTACACTACTAACCAAGGGATTTGTGCTCTTAAGTACAGCTGGAAAAACAAGTTCTTCTGGATTTTCTATGACAGTTTTGCATGAAACAATAGGTTTTGATCCAAGTTCCCAAGATCTTTCACTATCTGGCATTCTTGTAGCTGTTATTGGTGTTGCTAATTCACTGATGTGACTAACCACCATCTGCTTTTTAAGTTCAGGTAACATCTGACGTAATGAAGATTCCTCTTCGTGTAAGTTAGAAACATTAAGGTCAGACATAAAGCAGGCCATACTATCATCTATTCGGCTACAAACTGCAGATTCTAGATCCAATGGAGCATCTTTTATCTTATCTGTCTGAGTCAATTCTGTATCTTCAGCTTGAATAGCTTTTCTCCATGAGCTTCTAATTTCAGTAACTAAGATTGAAACAAATAAAGGTCATATTTAAGTGCAATTCCACATTGTTTAGCCACCTAAACTATTGATGCTTCCCATTCATGTCCCCAACGATGACAGCATAGAGGTGCTGGCATATGAGTTCTATGCCTGTGTTTCCTCAGTCTTTTAGTTATCAGTGACTGCTTGCTGCCTTCCTAAACTGTCAGGGAGGACTCGAACATAGACTGGCACCATTCCCCAAGTCACTGAGAAATATCGCTCTATACCACCTTAGTCACACTGTTCATTGTGTTACAGGTACTACATTGTATTAAAGATAACTCATAGTTGTCATCATGACATACCTATTAAAACCATTCCGATTAGGGACATGTCACTATACATGTTTAAACGGTTAACAGACTAGCCTGGCCTCATCTGTTAACCTTCATGATTATATTCCAGGGCCCACCTCCACCACAGCCCCCTAAAAAAAAAAAAAAAAAAAAAATTAACATCCCTAATTCTGACTGAGCAGTGTTTGGGAGGGTTCTTTTAACATGGCAGCATCTCTATTCTACATAAATTCACTGAAGTTCAACTACTCTTTAATAATGTAGAGTACTCACTCAGATTTTCTGGAGTTCGTGGGATCTGTTTCCTTGTTAAGAAAGGGTTAGAAGCTAATGAACCAATTAGATCATCAAACTCCATTCCTTTTCCACCACTACCTTGAGAAGATTCTGATACCACAACATCTGCAACCTGTAAGAGAAAGTTTAGAGAATGGAAACTCTTGAGGAAGATGACAACTTTTGTTTCTGCCAATAACGGATTCTTTCAGTACTTACTCTCTCCAACCAGTCTAAATCTCTAGGAGTAGGAGGTAACTGAATAGCTGAGTAGCTGCATGAAATTGTAGTGGTTACTCAACTATCCTACAGTCTCCAGGGACAGGGCCGGCAGCCAGTGCAATCTGCTCCCACTCCTGGGAGCACCCCCACCCCAACCCTGCTGCTGCCTCTCTATCAGCTCCCCACGCAGACTGACTGCCTACTGCCCTGCACTGCTGCCTCGGATATAGAGGCAGCAGCCCCTGTCCATAGAGGGGAGGGATGTCCAAGTTCCCCACAGACAGAGGCTGCTGGAGGAAGAAGTGGTGGGGGACGATGCCCTGAAGCAGCCTGTCTGTGGCAGTGCCAGTGCCGGCTGCAAACAGAGGCTGCTTCATGGCATCAGCTCCTGTCCACAGGGTGGGTCCCCAGATCCCCATGGACAGGGGTTGCTGCTGGAGCAGCTTCTGCCCATAGCAGGCCCTCCTCTGCCCCCATTCTCCATGCTGCTGTTTTTGATAGAAGTAGCAGCATGGCGGGGGGGAGAGGAGGGAGGCAACACTGTGAAACCTGTGCTAGAGAGAACTGGCCTCCAGCACTGGCTCATGCTCCCTCCCTGCCCCTTGCTTCCTCTGATACAGGTCAAGGGGGGATAGAAGATGGGGAAACTATCACACTTGGGACGTCAATATTCTATAAAATAATATTTAAGTGCAGTGATGAAGATACATGCTCTGCTATCTCACTATATAGTACAGCTTTGAGGTACGTGTAACAAAAATTCCTTTCCAAGGCCTTAAAGTGCTTACACATACGCCATGTCCAAATGCTTGTCTAACTATAGCATCTAAATATTGCTGAACGCCACCATACCTATTGTAGTCCTGGAATTAGTGAGGTTGGTAAGATAAACTTTGTAAATTGCAGAAAGCTTTCAGTAAGTGAATCAAAGAAAGCATCCACTTTGTTAGGAAAAAAAAACATGAATGGTACAGTAAGCTGTCACCTGGGTATGCTTAATCAGTCTCCCAGGGAAAGCCAATGTCAGCTGCCTAGTGAGAACAAGTCATCTTTGATTATTAATGCAGTTTAGTTGCTTTCATGAATGTTATACTGGCTCTGATAGTTGTTCAGTTGACAAACTTTTAGTTCTCTCTCTCTGAGAGATACACAAACATTCATAATTCTACCCTCTCCCTTTCAGGCTATTAGTTTGTTTCACCAATGGCAGCCACATATTATTCTGTTTACTGCAAAAAGTCAGCAATAGATGCAGGTTGGGCCCTTCCTAAGTGGAGATAGGCCAATTTACAGAAATTAATACAGAAACGAGGTGCCTTAGAAATATCCAAGCACTTTCCATTTATATTATTGG